GTCCAACTCTCCTCGCACAGCACCCCCTAGCTGCAACGAGGTGGACAGCCGCGTGGTTGTCTCGACTATGGGCAGGTTAAGTGCTTTGGCTACACTGGTCGGCATTACGTTAACCGTTGCGGCAAAATCACGCAACGCCTCCGGAGCTGCCCTGTCGCGCTGCCCCTGAACCAACACACACGCCCCTGTTTCGTAGTAATACAGACCCTCGGGTTCCCCCATGTAACGCGCCGCCGACGGATTAACCGCTAAAGCCTGCTCCCGCTCGTCAGGCGAGAGCTCCGACAAAGTGCGCGGAGGCGGACCCTTAACCCCACTTACCTGGTACTCAAAACCGGCACCACGGTGGTCGGAGAGTTTGGCGCGCCCTTGGGCCGCCAGGGCAAAAGACGCCAGGCCAGAATCAAGGGGAGGTGGCGTGACCAGCTCCGGTGCTGCCGCCGGGAAACAGGCGAGCTGCACACTCTTGTCTGCCTGAAGCGTGGAAAATCCCTCCCCGAAGCTGCTCGAAACTGAGCTTGAACCCTGCGTTGCTTGGGCCGTGCTTGGGGGATGGGGTTTAGCGTCTAAGGGGCCGCCGGTGGAAGACAGCCCCTGCTGGCAGAGCAGGTTAAGAAAAGTGCCGACAGGCATGTCGGAGATTTTACGCAGGAGAATATTGTCATCCAGCAGTGTATGAGTGCGTTTTGAGTTGTTCGCCACGGGTGGTGTCGGTGGCGGGTACTGCTTCATGACTAAAGGGGCAGGAGTAAAGGACTTAGGAACAGCCTGCGAATGCATGGTGGCTAAGCTGTTGTACCTTACCTCTTGTGCGCTGCGCGTCCATATGAGTGGCGCCATCCTGGCCTGCTGGCTGGGAGAGGCGTTAGACGCCGCTTCATGGAACTGCGTCGTGCAGCAGGCCGCCTCCTCATCCCCCTCGTCCTCTGCTGCGAAGTCGTCCTCGAAAGCTGCGGCAACAGCCGCCGCCAAGGCCGCCTTCTTTTCAACCGCCTTCTTGCGCTGCAGAAATAAAACCTTCAGGGCTGGGTTAGCAGGCTCGTAGCCCGCGGGAGCGAGTTCGGGGTGGAAAATGAAGCACTTGCTCTGCTGGTGACCCATGGTTCCGCAGAACTCGCAAGATGGCCTATTCCCCCGCGATTCGCTAGCACCCTGTCCCTGCTTGGGCTTAGATGGCCCAGCCCCCTTCTGCTTTTGCCCGCCCATTCCTCTGGACCCCCCTGAGGTCGACGCGCTGCCCTGTCCCTGGGAAATCAAGGCAACCAAACGCTCAACAATTCCGGAGGGGATGTCAGAGGTCAAAAGCGCGGACTTCGTTTTTGGGGGATTTAAGACACGGCACTGCGCCGTATCGTGAGATGCATTAGTGCCGTGCTTCCCGCAGTAAAAGGTGCGTTTTTCCTTAATAGGGGGTTTTGCTGCACTCTTCTGCTGCGGCGGCTTTTTGTGTACCTGCACTGCTCTGTCCTCCAACGGAAGGTTGTTCCACACAACCTCAGCCTCTTGTGCCGTCTTCTCCAAACGATCGTACCACTTGGTACGCTCCACGGTGATGAGGTGCCTCTCCAGGTGATGCCGAACCATGGGGTTTAAGCCCTCTAGAAAACGTTCCGCGACCTGGTGTTTGCTGACCCTACCGTCCAGCTTTTTCTCCAGCGCTAGCAGCATATCCTTGAAGACTATGGGAGAGAGAGCTCCCTGCTGCATGCTTCTGAAGCGCGCAAGATCACTTTCCGCGCGCGCGGAGGCAAAGTTTTCCTCTAAAATGTGGGCGTAATAGTCGTACAGTTGGCGAGGAGAGATGGCGTTGGCCGCCGCACCTGGTTCAGCTACTCTGAAGTGCGCTGCAGCTTTGGCTACGAGGTCCTGTATGTGGGAGTTGTACCACGCCTCGAATGGCGTGTTACGACCAGGCAGTGCGTCAAGGTACGATTTGAGGCTCTCAACAGACAAGTTGTTCCTAGTGAGCGGGTAGGCAACTCCTTGCTGGAAAACCTTGGTGAGGAAGTCATCCAACCCGTTGTGCTGGAACGGGTCGAGGGTAGGGTAAAGGTTCTGCATGATTTCGTCGTCAGAATCGCTGTCCCTAGAAAAGATAGGGTTGATGTAGGTACGGGGCCTACCTAGCGATTCGAAAAGACGCGACCACTTCTCCCTATCGGAATCTGTTCCGGTGGTTTCTAGTGGAGCGGTAACCTCACCCGCAGTTGGAGCTAACTTAGTCAGGGGAAGTTCCACCTGTACTGCTAGGCCACTATCGGAACGCGAGCGCGGAATACGGGCGGCTTCGCTAGTACTAGACCCTGAGGTGGACACCCTACGCGTATCCTTACGCGAAACCTTGCTTACCTCCTGCTGATCTCGCTGACTCGTCGAGCGAAGATGTTGCGCAGTGGCGGCCCGCGGGATGTTGCGACGTAGCGGCTCCGTGGGACTTATGCTTACCTGTGTAATAATTAGCTTACGAAAAACAAGATAAGAAAAAGGAAAAGAGAAAGATGCAGCAACAAACGCGAAGCGAACAGGCAAGGACTAAGCAATATAAAGCCTAGCGACTACTAAAGAGTACTAAACCCGCCCCACCTAAGCTGGTGTCGCTGTAAAGTTGCGTTGTATTGAGCTGCAAAACAAAGAGTAGCTGCGTAAAAACAGCTGGAATAATTGGTAACGCTGGGTCGGGAAAGAGTAGAGTACCGACTCGATAAGCTTGCAGCGTTTACTCCATCATATAATTGCGCTTAGGCGTACAAAAGTCTCCGTATTCAAATATAGGAAATTGCACCACCTGTTGTGCTGATAACAATAGTTTGCCTCGGCCTGGGAAGCTGGTCCAGGTCCGGATATAGCTGCACAACTAACAGGTCGCGGCTCGAAGTCGACCCTAACGCCGCGAGCCAAAAGACCCATATAAATGAGTTCAGGAGACTTGCCAAGAGGCTCGAAGATATGTGGAATCAGCCGATGGTGCCGGTGTCTGACTGGAGTGGCCTGAACACTACGGCGAAGAAAAGTGTTGGTGTGAAAACCAAAAGGGATTGCGCCCCGGGCGTCCTCTGCGTGGCCTGGGGTTAACTGCCTCGATGTAAACTGCAGTAGCGAATTGAGGCTAGTGAAAGCAAAAGAATTGATGTGACCCCGTATAATTTGGCCAGAGGTACGCGAAATGCTCGTTAAGCACAGAAGAGCTCGAACCTGCTGTTCAGGTGAGCTGAATATATAGTATAAGAAAAATGTTAGGCTGGGCTGACCAAGCCTAGATGGTAAAACGAGTAGATCGTATAAAGTATTCGGGATCGAGTGTTCGACAGACGGCTGTGCGTAACACAGTATCGATTGTAAAAGTGGCCGAATACACAAGCAAATCGACCCAGTAGAAAATGGCCCGAAATTGCTGAATGGTAGGGCAGCTGTACGTAACACTGCTGACCGGCTGCGGCTGGCGTGACCTAGCCTGCCTAACCTACCAAAAAGGGGGTGCTGGGAAAAGCAACCCGAATATCCCCTAGGCGACAGAACACCTAAGGTAAACCCAAAACCGAAATTACTTGGTCTTCTAGCCTGATTTAGGCTTTACGGCTATGGAAGGCAGGGTGGCTTGGCGAAGTCCTGCAGGTAGCTTGGATGCTGACTAGACGGCACACGAACGGGCAAGTCGTAATACACAGCAAATAGCAACCCGCGAAAGGGGCCAAGATTCCCTCCAGGCAATCAATCAACAGTGACAAAGGTTTACCTTACCGACTGAGTATGCCCGGCGTGAAGGATATGGGCGTTGAGTGGCCCACACAGGAGTTCGGCTGGTGGAAGGAAGTTACTTATGCGGCTTATGAGAAGGGAGGTCCGCACAGGGCTTGTTGTCTAGCTCAGAGAACTTTACAATGTTCCGATCATGAGCCGTAAAGCGACTTTTCCAAGCTCGCTGCCGGCCATAAATACCGAAGTCACGATGTCGATCCCAGGAGGCCCTCAAAAGATAAGCCTCGAGTACGACCACGACGTATAGTCCACATATGACAAAAGTGAAACACCTTATAACCCGTGTGACAGAACATTCACACAAGAAATAAATAGGGGGGTCCTTGTGAAGCAGCTGCCCGCGTTTCCAAAGCACGTATGGTGTTGGATTGTAAGGTGCCCAAGTACGTTTCCGAGGAAGAGAATGTGGCCAGGCTGGAGAGGAAAGTGCAGTGGCATATTGGAATGTGAGATTGGCGCACGGGCGAATTTACGTGCATACCTTTCACCGTAGCATCAGTCCTCAGTTCACTTTTTGGAACGAACATGAGCATAGGTCCAAGCCCTCTCGCTTGGAGGGATATGCAAACAAACATCCTGATAGGGGTAAACTCGCACGCTACCGAGCATTCAACCGAGCACATGCATGCTTAGTTGAATGGTGAGATGCGACCCCCCCTTCATTTCGTGCTCGGCAAGCCTGCCACCGCGTACCGGATATGTTAGCGATGTTACAGAGACGCTGCACCTTGGTTTCTGTGCGCAATGCGTACGCTGCTCGACCCCGCCGACCAAAACTACACGTGCCCAACTGAAGACATTCCCGGTGGTTGTGCAGCAGCTCTTGAGGCTGTTGCTGGCTGAAATCCATCCTGAGCTGTCGAAGAATAAGGCCTAGGTTCAAGTTTCCTGTTGAGCGTGGATGGCCATGCCAGAACAGGCAACATGATGGGTGAACTCGCACGCTACCAACTTGCCCGCGAGCACGCGACGAGCGGACATAGAAAAGAGCGCAGCGGGCCCCCCCCTTCCCCCAACACTCACGCAATAGACCATCCCAAGCGCTGCTGTCCGTATGGGCCGCAGCCGCCGTTCACACACGAGTTAAGTCCGACATGTATGCACCGTGAACATGTATGCACCGTGAATGAAACCCTAAGTGTGATCGTGCCCAAATACAACAGCACTGCCCAATGTCCAGAAGCCTAGCGCCGAAATCGTGGGACCCTGTCCGTCAAGCGTTAGGTGTCCAGTTGCTGTGTGGGCTAGGCGAGCGTGGCTGGGGCGTCATCGTCTTGGACTGTCACGGCGGTGGGCGTGTGGGCGCTGCCGGCGCGTTGCCGGCTCATCGCGTAGAAGACCGGGCTGGCGGAAGGCGGCCCGCGCAGCACATTGTAGCCGCCCGGCCCCCGGGCCTTGAACTGCGCGATGTAGAGGGCCTCCATCTTTTGGGCTAGAGCAGGATTGGCGGTGCGCAAAGCGTATGATGGTCGACCCCGCCGGCTATGTTGGAAATGACCGACATTCATATACCAGTGAATGGTAGCCACAGTAATAGGACCCAACGGGGGTCCGGCGCTTTGATGGTCTTAACAGGTTATGAGCCCCGAATGGCGCATTGCGCTGCCGAGAGGTCGCCGGATCGATACCCACTGGCTGTTGCCCAGAGAATGGGAGACCGGGATGAGGCACGGGAAGGCCCGTAGCGAGAGAGTGTCGCTCACGGGGGGGTGTTGGAAATGACCGACATTCATATACCAGTGAATGGTAGCCACAGTAATAGGACCCAACGGGGGTCCGGCGCTTTGCTGGTCTTAACAGGCTAAAGCTACACGTCCCCAACTGAAGATATTCTCGGTGGTTTACCAGCAGGTGTTGTGCTTCTTGCTGTCTGATGTCCTGAACGCTTCCTCTTCCCGCAGCCGTTTCAAGCGCCCAGTCTTGCAAGCTACGTTGTATGCTTTCATATCTTTTCATATCTTATTCAGCTCAGGCTAAGCAGCCAGCCAAAAGTCCGAGATGCATACCGCTTGTGACTGCGGCCAACATGCCCTGACGAGCGGCCTTTCGCCGAAAAAATTACATACACTTTTACAGGCGCATTTTGCGAATCCCACGCGCGCATCCGCGCGGTGAATTTCGCTCCTGGCTTTTTTGGACGATGTACGACGGTTTATTCGCGAAGTACGACCGGACACATTTGTGCGAGAGGCTGCTTAAACAATTCACAAGTAAAGTACATAAATAGGGGGGTCCTTGTGAAGCAGCTGCCCGCGTTTCCAAAGCACGTATGGTGTTGGATTGTAAGGTGCCCAAGTACGTTTGCGAGGAAGAGAATGTGGCCAGGCTGGAGAGGAAAGTGCAGTGGCATATTGGAATGTGAGATTAGCGTAAGCGAGTTACAGGGCGTTTTATTGCACGGGCGAATTTACGTGCAAATCTTTCACCGTAGCATCAGTCCTCAGTTCACTTCTTGGAACGAACATCAGCATAGGTGCAAGCCCTCTCGCTTGGGGGGATATGCAAACAAACATCCTGATAGGGGTAAACTCGCACGCTACCGAGCATTCAACCGAGCACATGCATGCTTAGTTGAATGGTGAGATGCGACCCCCCCTTCATTTCGTGCTCGGCAAGCCTGCCACCGCGTACCGGATATGTTGGCGATGTTACAGAACGCTGCACCTTGGTTTCTGTGCTCATTGCGTACGTTGCTCGACCCCGCCGACCAAAACTACACGTGCCCAACTGAAGACATTCCCGCTGGTTGTGCAGCAGCTCTTGAGGCTGTTGCTGGCTGAAATCCATCCTGAGCTGTTGCAACACGGCTAACGCGGGCACGTCCCTATGCACAGCAAATAGCTGTTCCAAGCCAACAGCGGCGTCCATGTCACCGACAAGGCTCTAAACGTCTTATCTGTTCTTATGTTTAATTAAGTTTATGTATGTTATACTTTGCGCAACTTTGTAATTTGACTTTACTCTGAATAAGGTGCTGCATACAACTGCCTCTTCGCCAGCGCTTCATCTTCCGCGGCAGTTTCACGAGCCCAGTGTTGCAAGCTACGACGTAGGCTTTCGGTGCTTTCAGTTACTGCAAAGCAGCCACGCAATAGTCCAGCCTGCATGCCGCGTGCGACTATGGCCAACATGCCCACCTGCGCAACGCGCTGGCGCACCTCGTCTTTTCCGCCAAGAAATTTATATACACTTGTACAGGCGCATTTTGCGAATCGCACGCGCGCATCCGCGCGGTGAAATTCGCTCCTGGCTTTTGGGACGATGTACGGATGTTTTATTCGCGAAGTACGACCGGACACATTGTGCTTAAACATACGCGAACGAGCGTACATTCTCGTCTCGTCCATAAGTCGATCAGCGAAGTGTAAGATAAGAACCAAACACCTTACGCGATAATACACGAAATTCGCGTATTCACACCGATTATAACCTAAGACGATTATAAAAGACGGTAAAATGAACGTGACGCTAAAATGTCGTGACAGCCGCGTGTTCGTCGCCAGATAGTTCAATTCTCCCACCAAAGCCCTATACTATTGAAGAATTGGCGACGGTGACGGCTAACGCTGATTGTTATCTCGGAAGAATTGCCGGCGGCGAAGATATGAAACACGATAAACTGTTACAAGTAATGTAAAGAGTATTGTTAGCGTTCGGCAGGACTTGAAGAGATTCCTGGTAGGAATACCGATCGTTGTGAGATAAACTAATAGGCGCTGTCACCGCCCTAAATACCGGCGCTAGCGGAAAACTCGTACATTCCGCGATCTAACTGCACGTACATTCCGCGATCTCACTGCACCGTCCAGACGGTGCCCTAATGTCTATCACTTAGCTACCGGATTTGCATCGGTAGCTCCATAAGGTTCTGGGGTAAGTCTTCCCCATTAGTCAGGCGCAGACCCGGGGTCAAATCCCCTGGTCGACAACCACACGAGTTGGGAGAGGACCGTTTCCTCAACACGCCCCCTCGGGCCGTATCCCAACGAGTACCAAGTTCATCTGCACACTTCACACAAGGCTCATAGCATCTCGGCAACGTTTGAACTTCACCTCGCCCAGAGCCTTCGTTAGCACATCCGCAACCATCCACTCCGTAGGGCAGTATTCCAACTGCACCTCACCGCTATTCACTCGCTCACGTACTATGTGATGCTTCTTGGAAATGACCGACACTCATATATCAGTGAATGGTAGCCGCAGTAATAGGACCCAACGGGGGTCCGGCGCTTTGCTGGTCTTAACAGGTTATGAGCCCCGAATGGCGCATTGCGCTGCCGAGAAGTCGCCGGATCGATACCCACTGGCTGTTGCCCAGAGAATGGGAGACCGGGATGAGGCACGGGAAGGCCCGGAGCGAGAGAGTATCGCTCACGGGGGGGTGTTGGAAATGACCGACACTCATATATCAGTGAATGGTAGCCACAGTAATAGGACCCAACGGGGGTCCGGCGCTTTGCTGGTCTTAACAATGCTGCACGTCAATGTGTTTCGACCGAGCAGACGTAATCGGGTTGTTTCCCAAGCTAAGCGCCCCCTGGGAGTCTATCTGGATTTTCACCGCGCTCTCAGGCAAGCCCAAATCAACCATCAGCTTGCGAAGCCACAAAGCCTCACGAACAGCCGCCGCTGTAGCTTGGTACTCAGCCTCCACCGACGAAGCCGCCACAGTACGTTGAAGTTGGCTGCTCCAGCTAATCGCAGCCCCGTTAAGAGTGAAAACGTAACCGGACGTAGAACGCCGCGTAACTGGGTCTCCTGCCCAGTCCGAATCACTGTACCCGGACATAGCAACGTCGCCAACACCCCCAAAACGCAATCCTAGTTCGCGAGTCCCCGCCAGGTAACGCAGAACGCCGATTGCTAAGTTCATGGCAGTCTTCGTAGGTGCGGCCATATGCCGGGACAAAACGCTCAATGCATATGAAATGTCAGGCCGCGTGTTCGTCGCCAGATAGTTCAATTCTCCCACCAAAGCCCTATACTCGGTGGGATTGCCCAGCAGCTCCTCTCCGTCCCCCTTAGGAGTGTACCTAAAGCCCGGAGGCAAAGGGGTAGACCTCGGCTTTGCGTCAATCATCCTATGACGCTCCAACAGCTGCGCAATATACCTATGCTGCGACAACACTATCTCACCCGACTTCTCCCTCCTAATTTCCATGCCCAAAAACACCTTCGCTTCTCCAAGGTCGCGCACCTTGAAGACCTTCGCAATTGCAGCTTTAATTGCCCGGACCATTTCCGGGTCTTCCGACGCAACAATTGTATCATCTACGTGCACCAAAGCAATAACAACCCCACGCTCGTCCGTCTTAACAAACATCGCCGGATCAGACTTCGAAGGGTAAAGACCCAGCTTGGCAAACTCTGCTGATAGTTTTTCATACCAGCAACGGGGTGCCTGCTTTAAACCGTAAATAGACTTCTGCAGCTTGCACGCAAGCGACCGGTCACTGGATGCATATCCAGGCGGTTGCTCCATCCACAACTCCTCCTTCAGCTCACCATTCAGAAACGCAGTAGACACATCTAGCTGGTGTACCGTCATGTCCCGCGCTGCGGCAACTGCTAATAAAGCACGTAATGACGAACCACGAGAGGTAGGGGCAAACAACTCCCCATAATCAATCCCCTCGCGTTGCTCAAAACCCTTGGCAACTAAACGCGCCTTAAAGTGTTCCACGCTGCCGTCATCGCTGTACTTAACCTTATATACCCAACGACACGGCAACAAACGAGTACCAGGCGGTGGCTTCTTCAGCTCCCAAGTACTATTAGCCATCTGGGCGGCGATCTCCTCGTCCATCGCACGCCGCCAGTCGTCTGCATGTGGACTCGCAATGGCTTCCGCAAAAGAATTCGGTTCGGGAATATCAGTAGAAAAAGCAGCATTAACGCGACCAGTAACAGTGCGACCAGGTTCATTTCGCCACCATTCGCCAGGGCGTTTACGCTCTCTAACTGGGTACCTAGTTCCCGCCATTTCCACATCAGGCTGATTGATTCCTTGCCCGTTCGCACTGCTGGAAGGTCCAGCCCCAGCCGGCGCCCCCTCGCCACCCAAGTGCGGCGATCCCTCGCCGACGGTGCTACCTGGTATCCCTTCGCCAGCCCTAGGCAGCGATCCCTCACCAGATAAACTAGTGCGAAACTCCTCCTCCTCGTCGGCATCGGACTCATAATCGGAGTCCCCGGCATTACGCCGCCGGCCGACATTAGACTCATCAAAACGAACGTTGGAAACTACGGCAATAATGCCGTCCTCGTATAGTACACGATACTGTCCACCGTTCCCGTATCCGACAAGTATTCCACGCCTGCTCACCGGGTCGAACTTGTCGCGCTTGACGTCGGGTACGTGGACGTAGGCAACGCATCCAAAGACTCGCAGGTGACTGACGTTCGGACGAACGTTAAAGAAAGCTTCGTACGGAGTGACGGTTGACCCAGCAGTTGGCGACACATTCCTAAGATAGTTGGCTGTCGCTAACGCCTCCGCCCATAATGATTTAGGCAGTCCAGACTCAACTAGCATAGCCCTAGTCTTGTCCAAAAGGGTGCGATTTAAACGTTCCGCAGCTCCGTTCTGCTCAGGGGTGTAGCCTACCGTAGTTCCGTGTAGAATACCCCTGGAAGCGAAATAGGCCTTCATGCGAGTATTAACGAACTCCCCGCCACGATCTGTACGCACCTCCTTAACCTGCCTGCCAGTAGCGCGCTCCAGTTCCGCTATCATTACCACTATCTTCTGGTAGACCTCCTCCTTGGTCGCTGTAAACGCAACAGCTGAAAGACCAGTATGGTCGTCAAGCAGGGTTGTCATGTAACGCGAACCACTAGGTGAAGGTTCAGGCATAGGTCCACACACATCCATGTGAATGAGCGCGAGAGGCTGCGCTGCCTTATGCCCAGATAACGGAAAAGGACCACGTGTATGTTTAGCAAG